AGTTCCATGATTTTGACACACCTTCCTGGCCTTCTTGAGTCCTAGGCACATATATGGTACACATATATACAAACAGGCAAAACATTCAACCACAGAAATATTTTAAAAGTCCCCAGAGGCTGGGGAGACTGTCAGTCAAGGAAATGATTGCTGTGTGAGCATGAATCTGATCCCTGGCCTCTATGTAGAAAAGATGGGCCAGGCAGCATGAACCTACACTCCCAGAACTGGGGAGCTGGAGACACAGGAAGCCCTGGCCAACTAGTGTAGCCAATCCACTTTTGGTGAGAAACCCTGACTCAGCAAACATAGTAGAGAGTAGTAGAGGATGACACCTGATGCTGAGCTCTGGCCTCCCCATACACACACACCTGCCCATCTGTGTACCTGTGTGTACACAACCCCTGCTGTCAGACAAGACAGAGTAAGTGAAGGAGGCAGTATTTGGGAAGCTAGTCCCTGAGTACCATCAAAGCAGCACACTTAGGGCCTTCATTATTTTCCATGCTAGTCTTTCCCATGAAATGTTTTGGGGCTATTTTTGTTGTCATTCCTCCCAAATGAGCCATTGATCACCATTTTTCTTTTCCACACAGAAACTCCAAACACCCTCTCCCTATTTGGAGCTGAGCACATTTTACCCTAACTGACATGATCTGAATTGCATGCATTTTATTTCTATTGAATGACACATAATAATGGTACCTCCAAGGTGGTTACCTTGGTGTAAGAATGCTAGATGCCTCCAATTAGAGTAATTATGCCTCAATATTCTTTGAAAATGATTGTTGCATACACGAAGACCCTTTCTGTCTTAGGAGAAAAGTACAAGGGTGTCAATAGCTTCTTGCATGCTAATGGAGGTTGTTTATGGAATATGGCTAGTGTCCCAGAACTGCAAAGGTGCTGTAGTCTTTCTAAGGGCTGTAATAAACTGTAAAAATGTAAGGGTATGGAATAATTTTGTTGTTGGGTTGGGCAGAGAGTCTGTTTTTATGCAAGTGCATGAGATCTCTTTGGAACTGAGGTATATCTAAGAGAAATCACTCTTCCAAGAGAAATACTCCCTTAGTTCAACTGGGTTCCTCTATGGCCATAGCTATGTAAATACAAAAAAAGTATGCATACATACCGTGGATAAGTGTGCATTTGTACACACAGCTACAGATAGCATTAGCATGCACACATTTACACTTCTTTTCTCACCCTGGCTGTGGCAGTTCCAGAGTGCAGCCTTATTCCCCTCTGCTTTGCCATAGGGCTGTTCTGTAATTTTTACACATCAGCCCAGAGTTTCCTCTCATCCTCTTGTTTTGTGACTCCTTTGTTGGGCACATTTGGGGGAACTCAACAAACAGCAGGCTATGTGATCTAACCTATCTTTTTGTCTAGGAAAACAAAATAATGTGTCAAAAGCCAGCCACAAGTGTCTGTTTAACAGTTATTGATGGCTTCCCTGAGGGTTGGAATTTTAATATTTCTGAATATCCAGCGCCTAGAAGGTAGAACAAAATGGCTATCTAAGGCTGCGGGAAAGTCACTTTTATGGTTCTAAATATGAAGCAGAGGCATGACTCAGGGGCAGCTTCGTTTCTTCTTGTGAGAGTTCATTTTGGTGGGCCTTCTCCATCATACCTACTTATGTTCAATAACCACTCAGTGCCCTTGAGGCAGCACAAAACTTAGCAGAAATAATCTAAAAGCAAATGCTCTGTAATGTAATATTAAGTATTCTGTTTAGTAATATAAAAGCTGTCCTAAGATGTCCTGTGCAGAACATCTCTACAGGCTTTCTCCTCCTTTAATGAAGTAGTTAGCATTCCTAGGTGAGCGTAGAAATAGCATGTAAGTGTAGTGATGAGGGTCCACAATGCAGGATGGAGAGGATGGAGGACTAGGTTCATGCTGGAGGACTGACATAGAGGATGTCAGTTCTAACTAGACAAGCTAGATGTCTTCCTGGGAGAGGGGGAAAAAAGATATGAATTTACTTATGTCCTTGGGCTTTCTTTATGCACCACTCCGTCAATCTTAGAAGCTTTATCTCATTTTTTATTGACATTCAGTAATTATCATACCCAGGGGTAAAGTGTGGTACCCTGATACATGGATTACACCATTTAATGATTCAATTATGCCATTTAACCTATCCATAACCTCAAATAATTTATCATATCTTCATGGTAAGAACATGAAAAATCCTTTCTTTTAGGTTTTGGAGATAGACAATTTATTATTGTTAACAGTCACCCTACTATGAGATTAATTTAGTTCTTTTATTCCACTATAAAATCTTTGTACCTGTTAGCCAACCTCTCCCATATCTCTCCCACTGCTTTCCACCTGAAAATTTCTAATGTATCTTGGTAGCAAGGCAGTGGGGCAAGAGAATTCCCATCTTGATACAAACCTAGGTTTGATGTGAGAGTTTTTAAGAAGGGTCCTCAACCAGCAATGGATTGGACTTGCTATGTAAATACAAAGGAAGCCCCATTGTACCTGTAGTGATAAATTGCAAAGGAGGCACTCAACACCATGCAGTAGAATTCCAGAATGGCATTAAACCACTAGTATATCTTCCTAGATGTCACATTCTTTGCTTCATTTTCCTCCCTTCCTTCTGCCCTTCTGCTGCAAGTGTTTCCTCAGATAATATCCCAAATGTGCTTGCATTTAAGGTCTTATCTTATGATTTCTAGGCAAGCTCACACTTGGACAGTTAAGATGATTGACAGCTCATCATATGACTGTGATAAAAATGAAGAAGCATATTAAAGGAAGTGGTGATTCTAAATTTATGAACACAGTGGCTGTACAGTAAAATAAATCACACAAAGAAACACAGAGCACATCTGATGATGATGATATATGCCAAGTTGCTTTCCATTGGACCAGCGTTTGGGAAATTATTTGCTTGGCCTGGCATTTCCATGGGTAAAAGACATACTCGCTGGAGGTTGGTTCTGCAAAGGAAATGTAGGAGCATCTCAGGGCTCAGGGCATAGTGAGTGCCATGTCTTATCAACAAATTTCTCTCATCACTTTGGGTGAGCCAAAAAGCTATGGTGGCAGGACACCCTGCCTTTTGTATGTGAGCCTGAGACTGGATTAGATGGCTTGTGACTGAGAGTACCAACTAATGGCATCTCATGAGGTAGCCCTAGCACCTTGGTGGCAGTGTGCACCTTAATGAACACAGGTGCTTCCTGATGCTGGAGAGATCCTACAAGATTCCCTGGTTGGCTCTCCTGGATTGACCATCTCTCCCTTGAACCTTATTTCATTGCTCTCAAGGTGAAGATGGGGTCCCTCAATGAGCTGGCTGGGCTCTGCCAGCTTCTGCTGCCGCATCTTGTTCTACTTCCTTCATGATGCATTTCCCAGTCATGTGCGTCTAGAGACCAAGGAACACTCCCCAGGTTCTGAGCCTGAACCTGAACCTGCCATCTTACCTCCAGTGACAAAGCCACCTGCCATTTCCTCTGCCTGTAAGTTCTAGTACCTTCTACACCTTCAACACCTGACTGATATTCTACTTTTCCTCCATATCTCATCTCAGAATGAATTGAAGAGGTGAATCTTCTGGAAATTCCCTTCCCATGGATTTTTCAGTCCCTCCAAAGTAGTCAGTATTCAACACATGTGCCGTTTAACTTATGCAAGCCTTCCAGTGCAGGCATAGGAACGTTTTCTTTTCTAATATAAACACTGTAACATTTATACAGATTCACATGCTTCCTATCCAGTCTCTGGAAAACTTCCTATATATGTAGTGTGGATTTACTCTAAAATTTTTCCCCTAACAGTTGCATGAAATTCTACCATATGCATGCATAACCCATGTACATAACACATATGTGAAATATTTTAAAGGCTTCCCAGTTTCAAGGCCAGTCTGGTCTACAGAACAAGTTCCAGGACAGGCTCCAGAGCTACAGAGAAACCCTGTCTCAAAGAAAATTTTTTTCCTATAGTAGTTCAGTTTTTTTCCAGTTTACATTAAAAACAATGAAATAGTACAAAAATGTTTCTGAGAAAATATCCTTACATTATGATGATTATATATTTCTGTAGGCTTGAATACCAGAGATGATATTGTCTGTTTCACATACACAATAGTGTACATTTCAGTGTACCAGGTGTTTTTCTGCAGGTATGGCAGGTGAAGCAGGTTGCACATAGGCCTCAAGCTTCTGAGGTCTCTGTTCCAGCATTCTTGCCATCATTGGTGACCTATTCATCCTATTCATCAGATTCTTGGCAAAGGAGCTCTTCTGAGTTATATTTACTGAAGTTGAACTTCTTGTTGAACAAATCATGTTTGTTCTTGTGTGTGTGTGTGTGTGTGTGTGTGTGTGTGTGTGCATGTGTTGGGGTATATACATCAGTGCACACACATGCAGATGTTGAGAAGTTGGGTGTCTGTGGTAGGCTGGCTGAAAAGCTCCAAAGATAGGCCTTTCTCTGCCCATTAGTGCTAGATGTGCAGGCAGACATGCACATGCCTGCTTTTTTGACATACATGCTGGGATTTGAACTCATGCCACCCAGCCATTTCTCTAGACCCAAAATCTTGTTTGTGTGTGTGTGTGGGGGGTTGCAATATTTCTTTTAATTTTAATTTTGAGTCTCTATGTGTCTGTGTGGATATGTGTATGTGAGTACAAGCTCTTAGGTTGGATCAAGATGTTGGGTTCCCTGGAGCTGGAGTTACAGGTGTTTTGTGAAATGCTAACTACCAGTGCTGAGAATCAAACTTGGGCTCTCTACAAAAGCAAAATGGACTCTTAACCACTGAGCCATTTCTCTACAGCAGCTCATACTGTTTCAACAACATGAGTTGCTGTACAGTGATAGAAACCTGATATGTTACCATTCTGTATGGTGCTCTCTGTACATGCTCACAGTATGGGGAGGTTTCAGGCTGGAGGGATGTGATGATGGTGGGGATGGTTGAAAGGTCCTGCTCTGTTTATGACCATTTCTCTCTTCATTTTCAGATACCACTCAGATGAACAATGCAGTACCCTCTTCTCCTCTGCTCCAGCAGATGGGACACCCACATTCTTATCCCAACCTGGGCCAGATTTCTAATCCATATGAACAGCAGCCTCCAGGCAAAGAGCTCAACAAGTATGCCTCCTTAAAGGCAGTAGGTAAGGACAAGTCTGTTTTCTTTCCCCACCTGCTCCTCTACTTGGCTTCTCCCTATGGACTTCTTTTTATGCTTATTTCTTGATTAAACCTATTTTCTCTGCTTGTTTATCTTCTCTTGTCTATTATTTACCTGCCTATCTATCATATTGTATGAATATATTAAATAATTCACATATGTATCTATGTATATATGTCTATGTATATAGAAATCTATGTATATCTATCATCTATCTATATCTCTGTATATATGTCTGTGAACTGATTATCATATATGTATAATACAAATCTATTTATGAGTCTATCATCTATCTATATATGTCAATTTATGAATCTATTATCTCTCTGTCTGTCTGTCTATCTATCTTCCCTCAATCTACCTATCTATCTAGAATCAGGACTCCCCTAGCTTCTTCTTTTGAACTAGTTGAGTTCTGCCTTGCTGTCTGAGTAGGATGGTCATCTGGAGCACTGATTTAGTTAGGACTTTTTTCCTGGGGAGAATGACGTGGATGCTCATGTGATCCCACTAATGTTTAACCCACTTTAGCATTCCCCTTCTGTTCTTGGTAGTCCTCAGGACCCTCAGGTGTGGAATCTTGTCTGTCAGTCTTAGCAATGCCTGAACTTCTAACAAGCTCATGTCCATCACCCACACATCCTCTGCCATCTCTGAGAAGCTTATGGATAGCACACAGTCGTTGCTCAGGTAGTCTCTCTCCTTCAGGATATAACATTTCCCAGAGAAGAGTAGTCTAGAATCTAGACTCTAGAGCTGCTATAAAGGTTGTTCTTACCAAGTGTATAGTACTACATTTGACTTCCTAGGCATGCTGTCTCAGTGATCCATAGAAGAAACAAAACTAGTAGCTCAATGACCAGATTAAGAAACATTGAGTACAGCAGTGATTCAACAGACCCAGCAGCAGCAGGAAACAGAGCTGAGACTGAACAATTGCGTATATCACCACTGTACCCTTCTCCCTCCCATGTCTTCTTGCTGCCTCTGTTACCCTAGTACCCATTTCCCTCTATGTCTCCTCAGTCTCTCCCACTTGAACATGGTGCTTTTCTCTCAGACACATTCCATTGGATGAAGTCACAGCCACAGCAAAGTTGTCAGTTCCTGGTTTGTGGTTGGTTGTAGCAACTGAGGTTCTCATTGATGGAGATGACCCAGCATCACCTGATTGCAGGAAACAGTACCCAGGCCCCAGTGTGCCTTGGGGCTTTAAACAGAGCTGGGTGAGGGTGGAATTCATATATGGTCATTTGAAAGAGAAAACAAAGGCTAGAGAGATGGCTCAGTGACTTTCAGAGGACCCTGGTTCAATTCCCAGCACCAACATGATGGCTTATAACCATCTGTAATTCCATCTGACACCTTTTCATGGCCTCCATAAGCACCAGGAATACACAAGGTGTGCAGAGATACATGACTGAACACCCTTATATATGAAATTTCAAAATGTCTATATATTTCTAATATGAAGTCAAAGCTGGGGACTACTGACTTAGACTCCTCCACAAGCCAGCATTCAGGAGAATTGGACCCCATGTCCACTGCTTGCTCTTCCTCTCCTCTCCCAAATCAACTGCAAGCTTCCTACATTCTTGTTCACTCCAGATACAACAAATTTCAAGAAGGAAATTTGTTTCCTTCTTGTTACATACTGAGACTTCCATTTTCTAGTCCTCTCTTTGAGGAAAGGTTTGAAAACCCACCTTTCCACTTAGCCTGCCACTTTTCTGAGTTTATGTTTTGAGGAGCTTAAAAGAACAAGGCAGATATGAACTCAAATCCTGGCTCCACCACATAGCTTCCAGGTGATTGTGCAACACCCAACCCTCAGTAGTCCTCAGTTTTCCAGTGAATAAAATGTGTAGACAGAGACATTTCAAGTTAAACAAGCTGAGTGACATCATTCACCATGCCCCTCTTTCCCAGGTCCCCACTCTACTGTGATCAGCCATGCCAACTCCTTTCTTGGTTCTATCTTCTCTCATGCTGAGCTTGGGTCCTCCTGGAAGGTCTTCTTCATTGTCTTTAAATATCTTCCTTAATGAAGGACTCTTCTCCTTCACTGAAGGACTGATTACCAGGAACTTTGAATCCTAGAACAACTGCTTTAGTCTGGAATTCCATCTGAGTGATTGATGGAGCTCTTTCTGCTTTTCTGATCATTACTCGTTTATTCTCACATAGTTCTGGTTCCAGGAAACATTGGACAGATAGAGGACACCACAGATATAATTTTTTAAAAATCAATTGACCAGCTTCTTTTCTTGCAGCCCCTCTGGAGAGAAGGGGTAGTAGGTACTCTTTGATTCATTCAGCTACAAAATATCCTAACCCTAGGATCTAAAGTACAGATACTCACTACCATGTGGCTCTGATGTTTGTGAGATCTATGGTTGATAATGATAATAATACTCATAAAACAAGTTCCAATTACCTAAGCCTTCAGGATGGAATAATTATTTAAGAGTTTGAGCTAAGTGTACACACCAAGGTCACATGTTTGATTGACAGACAGGCTTTTCTATATCTCCTGCCTGGTAAGTCTTTCCCTACTAGTTATCTGAGCTTCATGCTTTGTTTTTCTGCCTCCCATAGTCCCTTGAAAAAGAAAATGCCCCCTCTTATGCTCTATGGCCATCAGTTTTATTGATTTCATTCTATTCTTATATAACATGTACATCCTAAGCATCCACATTTTACAAGGAAGAGAGAGATAGTGTTACTAAGGAGAGCAGGTAAGCGTGTCTTAACCGCTCACAAGGCTGCAGCAAACTGCAAGTGCTAGTCTTCCCCCTTCCTTTCTGAACCCTGCAATTCAGTGATAAATAACATCTATTGTTATATGAGCTTCTTCTTTAGACATTAAAAATAATCAACACAGATGTGTTTTATTTCTTTGAGAACTAGTCAAATTATTCCATGCAACTCATTTCTTTAACTTAGATCCACACACAAACCAGATACTTAGTAGCTCTTAGGGTAAATAATTGATGAATGTTCCAACATAGCTCCTTGATCCTCCCTGTGATTTCTGCAGGGTTGCTTTAGACAAGAAATGTCTGCAGAACATTTGGAATGAAATTTGCGATATGAAAATATGTTTGTCATTCCCCATGTAGCCCTTTCTTCTGCAACCAGGAACTCCAGGAATATGTTTTTGCATGAATGAATGCATTTGCCTTTGACAAGAATCAGATACTAGTTGGGTTTTAAGAAATCATCTTTGTTTCTTGTAGCAAATGGAAGGGTCTCTCTTGGGATTTTGCCCCAATCCAGTAAATGTCTCTCCTCAGACAACTGTGGAGTTCTTGGGCTCTAACTGAGCAGTGGGTGATCTGGTCCATCCCCTTGAGTAAAGTGTCAGTTTGTGACTGATTGAGGAACTGCCTGACCCAGTCAATCCCTAGGACCCCAGCATCTACCTGCATCAGTGAACTTCAAATCTCATAGTAAATGTTCTTTCAAGGGTTCTTTATTAAGGTGTAATGCAAACCCTGTGAGAGAGGGGCAGGCAATGTATTCCCTTAGAATATCATTACCACCCAGGGCAAGGCTGTTTAAAAATTGTTTACCATCTAAAGCTCTGCAACCTCCAAGAGCCAGACTCACTGTGTAGAATCTTTCAAACCAGTAGATAAGGAGGGTCTAGCTAACCTGTAATGTTAACTGCCAACTTAAAAAAAAAAAGTAAAAAGGAAAAAAAAAAAACTACCTTGAAGGCTTTAGTATTCAAAGCATCAGGTGCATATCTCTCAGGTGCTCCTAGAATGTCCAGGCTCTATCGTTATTTAGCTGTGTGCCACTGAGCCAGCCACAGAAATGCTTAGACTTCTAATTCATATGATAAGCAAGGGAGCAGGGTTGGATGGTCCCCAACATCACTCTAAATTTGATAATTGCAATATTAACCCATTCCATCTCTTCTAGTTACTATAATAACTGTGGGGCTGAAACATCTCATTCACCTATTGCCAGTGTTGGTGGGAGGTCAGATATGAAGAAAGAGTTATACACATATTTTAAGCCCTGATTCAGATTCCCAAGCCTGCCTGCCTTTGTCTCTCATTCTACTTTTGCTGCTTTATTGAAATTGCCCCATTCATATTTAGAACATTCTTCTTTTAGAGTTCAGGGCTTTGACACACACTGTTTGGTCATTTCGGGCATGTGACAGTAGAATGGTCTGTTACCAGGAGGCTCACTGCTAAGTTATTGGCAAAAGGCACTGAAGCACAAGAGAGAAATGTCAGGGGCTGAGCCACACAGGACTCTTGTGGGGGGGAAAGCATGCTGGAATTAGATATCATTCATTCATTCATTTGTTTATTCTCCAGGTACTGAATTTGGTGCCCGTTGACTATAGGTGCCATTGAGATATGGACCTGTCTCATACCATCTATAATATCTCCAGTACACAGCACCATATGGGGCATTTCCAACTATCAGTGCCCTTTGTAAAAGCCAGTGAACTGACATGTGATAGATATCATGTCAAATCAGAACCTTAGGTGACCAGCAAGAAGGAAGAATGCACATAACACTAAAATTGGTCAGGACTGAGTTTTAAGTCCTGACTCAAACATTATCAATGAATTTTAGAAACAATTAAGTTCCCTGGGTCTCAGTTTAGAGGAATTAATAATCACATACAGTGAATGGCTTAGATAGAGCCAATGATTCAGCTTAGGAAACGACCTTCACATGTAGTAACTACTACAGCCTATTACATTTTCCCTTCCAGAAGAACTGCCTGCCAGTCATGTCCTTCTAATTTCCCAGATACACTAGGACATTGAATGGTACACATTTTGATTTGAGGGAGAGAGCAGAATCCATATTCTTGATACCAGTTTGAGAAAGATATACATGCTGCAAGTTAGCTCACATTAGGAATCTGGGGGGGGGTGGTAAGAAGCAAGAGAACACACAACAAATTACTTTCCTGTGAATGCTAATAATCTTCAAGGCCAGCCCAAGTCACTTCACTTTCTCCATCTAAGTATGCAAGATATGGAATGCAGATGTGTGCATGCTACTGTCCACCAAAAAGGACACATGACTCACCTGGCTTCTTTCACAATTTGGAGATGTTTCCAATCAAGGTTGAAGCTGAGGAATGTGCCTTATAAGTTGACATGATTATGTATTACCCTTCCTTGACCCAAGTCACCACATGCTAGGCAGGTATATGATGAGGACAGCTGTACCTCTTCCTCACACAATGCTAGTAAGGCAGAAGTGTCCATGAAGATATTCCTACCTGGTGCTTTAGAGAGGGAGTACTCCTATTCCTAGAGCAGGGAAATCTTCATCCTGTTATATAATTTCCAATGGACATCACAAACAGGAAGTTGCCTGCAATCCATATTTATCTCCCATCTGCCCTGATCCATGATCATATGTTGCTGAGGCTTGAGCTCCTAGACCGTTGGAGGTCCCTGACAACAGGCTATATATGTAGTTCAGTGCAACCCTTGGCCATCCAGTGTAAGGAAGAAGGATTTTATCAGCCTGAGAAATGAAATGCTGCATGCCTTCATTTTAACGCAATGTTTAATTTTATATTAAGAAAAATATTTCCCTTTTGCTATTTGACAGACGATCATTTTTTTTCAGAACACATTACATATTCCAATAAAAATTGGAAACATCAGCAATGATGCAGGGGTCCCTTCTCTATCCTCACTGTGGGTGTCTTGTACCAAAACCTAAAGAAAAATATGGGGTTCCTGTAATGAGAAGTTCTTTTTCTCTTGTCTGGGCTGGTCCTGCCACCCTTGAGCTCCAAATAAACACACGGAGGCTATATTAATTACAAAACTGTTGGCTTCTTATTGGCTAGCTCTGTCTTAATTATTAACCTATTTCTATTAATCTTAGTATTTCCATGTGGTGTTATCTTACCAGACTTCTAACTCCTTTGGTGACTCACGTGGCAACTGTTCCCAGAATTCTCATCTCCTAGTCTGGCCTATCTCCCTGCCTCAATTTGCCACACTGTTTTATTCATCAACCAATATGAGAAACCTATACACAAAAGGACATTCCCCCATATGGTTCCCAGCCATGAACTGATGACTGCTGGGTTAATTTTGTAAAGAGTTAGGTATTAGCTGAGTCTAATGCCACCAAACTCCAAAGCACCACATGTCCAAGAGAGAGAGTACCTACTGTATTGTGGTGTGACTAATGGAGAAATTGAGGTTCAGTACAGTTAAGTAATTGACTTCACATTCAAGATGGCTTGACTTGGAAACCGTACTCTTTGCACAAAATGATGCCTTTGCAGGGCTACTTGTGACTGTCAGAGAGTACCAGCAGACAAAAGAGTTTTCAAGACCCATTTCCCACTTCTTCTCCTTCTGTAGGTCCCATTTTCTACTTCCTCCCTGTGTGTGTGAGGCAAGGTTCACCAAAGTGTCAGTTGTTTTTGCTGTGAAGCTAAAAACTTTTCCATGTGGTGAGTGTAACTGAGTTATAACATACTTGAAATATAATATGTATGAGGAAAATTTTGAGGAGCAAGTCACATAGCTCTTAATTTTACAATGAAATTGAAAACTCTATGTAGTGGAGAAAACACATCCCAACAAAGGTAAGAAATAAGTCGCCACATCCAACCTTCCCTCATTGCCCTTTCCTTCCTATAGTTCTTGTTTTGTCTAAAAAGGTCTATTTCCTTTTAATAAGCAACTTTATCTTCAAATATTCCTCTAATGTCGGCCAGTGCCACTGGAGCCCATGCAGCTGGCTATCCTCTTACTATTATTCTCATTGTCAGTGGAGTCTTAGAAGAAAATTTGTTACCACCTGGTCAGCCCTACACCATGTCTTGGAAGCTAGGCAAAGGTGACAAAAGCTGGGGAAAGGTGACAGTAGAGCAGATTATACCTTAAAGGCAAACTTGATGAAGGGAAGATAGGCTTCCTTGGAGCCTATCTATGCCTTGGGGGTTGGTCAGCTTGTTGTCCACCAGAAAATGAAGATCTAGGGCCCTATGCCTATTTCCAGATGACCCTAGGTTGAGGGGAGAAGACATGGTGAAGCATAGCAGGCAGGGCACTGAACACTAACTCACTCTCCTACCAGGCCCAGTTCTACTCTGTTTGAGTGTTGAGGGTGTAGGGTTCAGTTCCCCAGGGGGTACATGGCAATTTGAAAGTTCTTTGAAGTACCAGGGAGGCCAATTAGAAATGTTTAAATGTCAGATCTGTCTTCTATAATCATACCAGCCAGAGGCTGTTCCCTTGATCTCCTTTCAGCCTGTTGGTCTCTGGAAGTATAGAAAGTGTTCAGGATGAGTCTGCCCAAATAGGTTCCTAGGAAAGAAAAGGAAAGCCATTAGCAATCACTGATTGGTCAGACTTCTAGCCAATAGGATGAGGCTTTCATTGGCAGATATTTTTCCACTTTAAGATAAACTCAATTTTACAGATGATGCTAGTGAAGGAGTGGGGTACAACCATAGTTCTTTTCATAGTTGTTTATTTTATAAGATACCCCTTGAGGCTCTGTTAATGAGACCACTCACCCAGGGGCTACTGGGTACATCTGGAATGAAATTTGGAAAACCTGATTTATAATAAACAAATTCCAGCCACACACTTGTTCTGTAAAACAATGTATTACTCATTGTGGGGTTCTGTGAGAACAAGCTTAATCCCTTTAGCTTTGGGGGGAGTTTCTGTACTTAAGGAAAATGACTCTGGCAACATTATTTTTCACACTTAGGCATTTGGAAAGGCAGGTTGTACCCAATGTAGCATTTACAGCTACAGGTAGGAGGGCATGCTTTGGGATTGGGGTGTTCCTTAACAATGACATACCCTCTTTCAGAAGAATGCCTGTAGCAAACAGGAAGCAAATTCCATGTCTTGTCCACTTGTGTACATATTAGCAAAGCCAACCTCTCATAGTGAATTGAAACTTATAAGTAGACTACCAGTAGTTAATCCTTCCTCTGATGCTGTTTCCTTGGATACTCAGGGTATGTCTCTCCTGATAACCTGTTAGGTCTTGTAGGAACAGGTGCATACCTACTGTAAATTCACACTGGCTCCCTTCCTTGTTCCCTGAGTCCCCTGAGGCTGGATTCCTTGGACACTGCAGCTGAGACAGCAAATGCCACACCACCTGGGTGTGAGGGTAACACAGCATGGGCTTCCAGGAAACCAGATGAGCATCTCTTGATTGTTATTTTTTTAGGAAATTCTGATGGTGACTGGGCAGTGGCAACGCTTAAGTCACCAAAAGGTACCGTATTGCTTTTGCTTGCTCTTTGTTCAGGTGTTGTCAAACTCAACATTAAGTAATGAAGGGACAGAGAGTCCCAGTGTTTGTATGTGACCTGGTTATATGTGTGTCTTCTCTAATTGGTACCTATAAGTCTGTGTAATCTCGAGTGCATAGGCGTGTCTTGTAGCGTGTGTGTGCATATGTGCATGCACTTGGGTGTGGTGTCCATGCTCAGGGAAGTTGTGGAACAATGTGCTATCCTTTTATTCACTTCCCATTACTTGTTGTTTTAAGGAACTTCTCTATTAGACACATCTCAGGAAAGGCAATTTCGTCAAAGAGAACTACAAAAGCAAAGTGCAGAAATGAAAACAAAATAAATTAATTCTAGAAGTATTGCTGCTGGTATATGGGGAGGAAAACAGTCCTTATAGAGAGATAAACACAGTCAAGTTCTTTAACATAAGTCTGGGGAATTGGACTTTTAGGGAACAGAATTTGTTTTCAACTTTCCCAGCAGATGAGCAGCAGGACTGAGGAACTTTTTGAGTTGAGTCCTTGAATTAACTAGTTGGGTGACTAGGTCAAGTAATGGCTATAATTGATGTACTAATTCTCTACTATGTGGCAGAGTTATGACCTTTTACATTTATTGTGTTACTTAATTTTTCCAAATACTTGGCTAAGTATTGTCATACCCTTTTAGAACTAGGTCAAGTGAGGGAGAGTCACACTTATCTAAAGGAATTCGGTCACTAAAGGTGGTGCTTTAACTTGAGAGTGTGACTGTCTGATGCTAATGGATAAATTGTTCCCCAGTAGGTGGAGGGAGGGAGCATCTATTTTCTAAACCAGCCATAGTATTGGTTTCATTATTCTTCATTCACTGACTCCCATAGTAGGAATGGATTGGCCACCCCAAAGAGGCAGATTTCTTTACTGACTGTGAGCAGAGAAAGAGCAGGAGACAGACAATAAAGACTCTAGACAAGGTACCTGTGTGCTATTTTGCTTTCTTAAAAGGTCATTCTGACTTCTCAATGGGAACTAGACTATGGAAAGTTGGACTGGGGTTAGGGATACTAGCTAGGATGGTCTTGGACACAGATGGTGTTCAACTGGCATAGGTATGGGATAGAGAGAAGAAAGTAGAGTGGAGGGACAACTGGGAACTTTAGGTTATATAAGCAAGTGGACATGATAGGTTAGGACTACTAAGCAGATGGTTTTGCTTTAGAATAATATGAGCACCCTGGTGCTTTGGATTTACTAGATCTTGGGTGGAGCTCCAGGCATTGAGTTGTCCATAACTTCTGGAGTGCCGCACTGCTGACCTGGGCACTTAACATTACTGCTGGACAGACATCTTGCTAGGAGACAACCACTCTCAAATGAGGACATGGAACATATTCCCAAGACTTAAGAAAGAATTGAAGAAGAAATTTGTCAAAGGTTTTAGAGCTCCAAGTCAATTTGGGTTGGAATCTGGGGGCACAATAGTCCCACCCTGGAGAAGAGGCTTGTGTTTAATGAGGGTTCCCTGACTACCAGGCTGTTAACTTGAGAGAGGCAGACTTGGGATCCTGCATTAAATAATAATCGTTCACATGTCAAACCCCATTTTTAGAAATGCAAAAAATTTGGAACATGACAGACCTACTGATTTGAGAGGCATACAGTCCCCCCTTCTGTCTGTGAAAAACAAAGTTATTAGGGTCCTGTGACAGCCCTGGGGAATCAGGCTGCACCTTGGCCTTTATCAGCCTACTGTGGTCTGATATCTTTAGACAGTATTTCAGACCATGTCAAAGGCTTGAAAGCTGTTTCCTGCTGTGCTTAGTGCACTTCTCTTTATTTCACCTTATATGGGGAGGAGAAAAGAGGGCCAGGCCATCTTCCTTTGGGGTCACTGGTCTCCCTCAAATATCACCTGTTCACCTTATAGACAAAGCATGAAAATAAGACTGAGGTTTGCACAGTCATGCCCTTCTTATAGGATGAGACAAGCTGGGTTTGACCGTGACTCAGCCAGCCACACAGGAGTCCCAGACCTGCCCTTGCTTTGCTGGTCTTGGTACCTTCAACCAGTCATTCAGTTTCTCAGCCTGTATTTTCTTCCAAGCACCAACCTGATCTGACCCAGATTAGCTTCTGAAGAGACTTGATCAGGCATTTTCAAAGTAGCAAACTCTAAGTCCTGCTTTCCTGACCTGCAAAATGGAGATAATCATGCCAGATACTTCCTAGATAGCTGCAAAAATAGAATAATGCTTTAAACATATGTCATTTTCCCTGGCATATAGAAAGTGGTTAACGCTAGCAGGTGAGGAAAGGCCTGGGGCTCTGAAGAGTTCCATGATGACACAAAGCTATTAAACTTTGGTTAAATCATTTCCCAGACAACCTTGACATTAGGTCTTTTATTTTATGGTAATAAGTTGGCATCTTACCAGCTGGTTGCCCTCATACTGTTGGGGGCTGGTTTTAAAACCTCATGAGAACTTTGTGAAGATGGTAGGGGCTTGGTGTCTCCCAGAGAATTTTGGTAAGAAATTGTAACTGTGATAACAAAATACTTCAAGTCCACAATCAAATTGAAGCCAACTTTTGGGAAAACATTCTTCTAATTGAGTGTGGATCTTTCAGAGCTACACTGGAGCACATAATTTGAAGGACATTCCCAGAATACTGCTGTTTTAACTGGAGTTAGCCTTTATGTTCTTACTCAAACTGCTGACATACTCCTGTTTCTACAATTGCTAAGATAGAGCAATCAGAGTATTCACTCCCTGTGGGCTTTGTGGGAGTAACTCTATGAGGGGGTGTAAATAAATGTCTTAGCACAGGTCCAGAGTGTGCCTAGAAGAGGCCAGTGGTCTAAGGCTCTCTATTCAACTCTTCAAGAGATCAATCTTAGTAACAGTGAAGGAGACATTCAGATGTAAATGCACAGGTAAGGATACTGGGAACCCATCCCTATCCCTTTAGAGATAACCAGGAATTGCCTCAGGCTACAGGAGAAAATTACATCTCAACAGGATCAGGACTGAGACCAGACAGGGATATAAGGACTTAATCCTGAATCACTGGAGATGTCAGTTTGCAAATGTAAGTCCTGGACCTACCCACCCCTAAGAATCTGAGTCTGTAAGTATGTGTATGTGGGGAAGATTCCCAGCACATTCTTCATTTAATGTATCTTCTGAATATTCTTATTTTATTCCACTTTGTCTAATACCAAACCCTAAATGCAAACACAAATACATACTCAGTACCTCAGAGCACCAATTTTCACATGCCATCATTTTTCCCAAGATGCATTCCCCTCATAATTCAACAACATTTACTATAGATCCTCAGAAATGCAACTATTACCACATTCAATTTTAGATCATTTTCATAAGCTGAACAAAAAAAAGCAGCCCCCTTAGTTGTGTCTCTCCAAACCCCATCCCTAGGCAACCAACACAAGTGTTTTTTTTTTCTTTCTTTCTTTCTTTCTTTTGATGTTTGCTTATATTCCTTGTGGTAGTTAAAGCCACATCACAGCAGAAATAACATGGGTGGTGGTGGATCTTCCATATCATTCCATGCTCTGCAACTCATGGAAGAGTGACTTGACAACCAAGATGCCCAGTGTCTCTGGGTCTTATGTGCTTTCTCTACCTCACAGAAAGAACAATGATGCCTTGTTGGTCTTGCTTCTTTAAGAGACTTCAAATGTGATCATGGAAGTGAAAGGCTAAAGCCTTATCTAGCCCATAGGAGGTACTCAAAAAAGTCTAGTTATTTCTTTCTCCTGAGAGATAGCTATGCCAGGTATGTTGCACACCTATGATCCCAGCATTTAGGAGCCTAGGGAGGTAGATCACAAGTTTTGGGTTAGCCTAGTCTACATAGTCAGACAATCTCTTCATAAAAACATAGAAATGAGTAAGGAAGGGAAGGACAAAAGGACGACAGAAGAAAGAAGGCAAATGTTTCATGGTGAAGTTGTTTTTCTAAGGAATATTATAGGAGGTACAGGACAAAAGAAAATGTTTAATTTGGTTAACTCTTCATTGGAGTATACACAGTGTGCAATCCACACTGGTGAAATGCCCACCCAAAGGCAACCTTAAGACATTATTTCATGATTCTGTAGCTTTGGCAATTTCCTGATTTGGGATATTGGTTTGGTAGCAAGCAGGAGGAACAGGGGTGATGAGAGGAGAATTTTCTTTAATAAAACTCAAATCCCACCCTGTCTTTCATTCTGCCCCTTTGAAACCACAGGGCAGCTCTGGATCTTGGGTGAACCTGCCTGAGAACCCCTGGGCCATGAGATGAGCCTGTGGAGAGAGTTCTTTGGCCTTCATAAAAATGCCACCACATAAGGATTGCAATAAACAGTTTACTATTTTAAAAGTGTGTTACTCTGAGCATAAGACAGCCAGATCCATCCATCACAGAGCCTACTTGTGTGGTACTCACAGCTCACAGTAGACACTCAGCATAAATGTTGTGGATAATTACATAGTACTAAATGAAGAGACACAGAGCGCGCGCGCACACACACACACACACACACACACACACACACACGCACGCACACGCACATGTACACACACAAACACACCGCATCCTTTTCTTATAACTACTAAAACAAAACAGGAGAGAGAAGTAGAAAAGCTACAGAGGTGCAAAGGTCTATCATTCACACACAAATAATAGGAGCAGCAGTGAGGAGGATCCAACTGGAAACTCAGGGCTCTTAGAAGTGAATAAAGGACAGATAACATTCATTATCTGTCATCACACAATGCCCTGTGACAGAGGGCTCAGAACTCACAGAACTTACTGGGCTCAGCATCTATTCAGATGAAGGACTCTTTGAATCACTGGCTTTTGTGAGATCGGAGGTTCTTCCAGTCTCAACTGTGTTAACCTCCAAACAGGGTAGCTGGACATTGGCTCATCTAGGCCACATTTTTTCCCACTGGAATGATGGAATGCTCAACTCATCTTAATGAGGGAGC